AGGTATGCGTTCTTGATGTCTATGGACGCTAGAAAATCTCCTTCTAGTAAAGATGTGACTACTGACCGGACTGACTTCAATCTGAAATGAACGAATCTTTAGGAACTGGTTCAGCCCCTTTAAGCCTAGAATAAGCCTTCAATCCCCATTCGGTTTTGGAACCGTGAATAGGGTTGAATAAAATCCCTGGAACCTTTCGTCCGCTGGAACCTCCATAATCACACCTTGGGATAACAGCCGGTCGAGTGCTTGAAACAAAGATTTCCTTCTCAATGGATTTGTGGATACATTGGATCTTAAGAAACGGGGAGGAGGAATTCCCCAAAACTCCAGTTTGTACCCCTAAGCAACTGTAGCAGTGACCCACTTGTCCTGGTCAGCTCTTCCCAGATATCCGCAAAAAAACAAAAGTCTTCCCCTCACCCACATAAGGGCGACCCTTCATAATAAAGCAGATTTAAAATATGACCTGGCGGGCTTCTGCACCCAGGGTTTCTTCTGGCCCTGACCCTGAAATGTGCCCTTAGATGCAGAGCCCTGTGTAAGACAAAATGTTTGTCTACCAAAAGAGGCACTAATCACCGATATTCCTGGGCCCTTAAAGGTCAGAAGTTTGGACTTTCTCTTATAGGGTAAAAGCGTACTTTTTCCCCCTGAGATCTTCTGGAGATACTTGCCTAGGTCAAACAAATGTTCTCCATGAAAGGGAAAACCCTTCAACAATCTTTTGCATGGTGGGTCCGCCGCCCAACTCTTTAACCACAAGATCCTGTGCATGTGTACAGACAGCAGGGCCATGCGGGAGATCTGCTGAATTGAATCCTTAAGGGCATCAACTGCAAAAGACAAAGCCTGTGGTAAAACTGCAAAATCCACATCCGTGTCCTCTTCTAGCCACCCGCTGAACATGGTCATTCAGACTCTGACATATACCAATAGCAGCAACCGCTGGTTGTGCGGCAGCCCCTGCCAAAGAAAAACAAGACTTGAGGAGCGATTCTAATTTTTTATCTGCCAGATCCTTAAACAGCTGGGTATTATCCACAGTACAAGTTAATGCTTATTCAGGAAAGAGACAGCTGTGTCTACCCCCGGGCATGCCCTACTTTCTAACAAACTTCTCCTCCATAGGATACAAAAGGGAGAATCTCTTAGGTGGTGCTCCCAGTCAGCATACAAAACTTGTTCCAACAGAGGATGCACCGGAATTGCCTGAATACTTTGAGGTGGCTTTAGTGACACGAAAGAGAAATAAGAGACCTCAGATGCCTCCACTGGGGGTAACTTGAAACCTGACTAGACCATATTAGTGAGGGTCTTAGCTAATAACCTCTGTGATTGAGAAGCAGAAACCACCTGTTTTCTCATCAGGCTGTGATTCCTCTGACAGAGATCAATTGCCTGGCCCTCTTCAAGATCCTCTACCGCAGCTTCATCCTCAGGTTCCAACCACTCTTGTTCAAGACTGGTGGGTCCAAAGATGGGGATCTTTCCCTCTTCTTACCCCCCTGAGCCACCGATGCAACCATCCCAGCAATCTTATCTTCTAACCCTGCTAAGGCTGATGCAAGATCCTCCTTAGTTATGTACGCCGAAGTGGATGCACCGGTAGTAGACACAATGCTGAAGAAACGCAGTGGGTCAGATTGACCAGTTGCCCCTGGTCTTTCAGAAGAGGATAACTAAGCAGAACTTTGACTAGGCTCCACAGCGTAACAAGAACTGTGTAAGAATTTAATCAAAACACCACATACATCATAGACCTACTTAAAAGTGAAGCAATACACTCCAATTGCAGTCTACTGAATAGAAGGAGGTAGCATGTACACAACTCTCCTGCCTGACTGGCCAAACCTCCCAGGGGAGTACTCACATGCCCTTTAGAATAACCTGCCCTGTGTCCTGGCCATCCCTCCAGGGTTCCGCAGTGGTAGCAGCGGCTACAGCAGCTAACATGTAACAGGCAGCATCCTATATAAACAATATGACCGACTTCCTCCTATTGCTGCCTACTGGGCATGTGTCCCCATGCACATGCGCCCCTGTGGTAACAGACACCCTCTTGTAGCCAAAATTAGGTCTTACAGGCAAAAAAGGAAGTACTCCCCCCAGATGTCTTCCCACTCACACAGAGCAGACTCCTCCGCATACACAGATTATTTATATATACAGTGGGGATCGAACGTTTGGGCACCCCAGCTAAAAATTTGTATTAATGTGCATAAAGAAGCCAAGGAAAGATGGAAAAATCTCCAAAAGGCATCAAATTACAGATTAGACATTCTTATAATATGTCAACAAAAGTTAGATTTTATTTCCATCATTTACACTTTCAAAATAACAGAAAACAAAAAAATGGTGTCTGCAAAAGTTTGGGCACCCTGCAGAATTTATAGCATGCACTGCCCCCTTTGCAAAGCTGAGACTTGCCAGTGTCATGGATTGTTCTCAATCATCATCTGGGAAGACCAGGTGATGTCAATCTCAAAGGTTTTAAATGCCCAGACTCATCTGACCTTGCCCCAACAATCAGCACCATGGGTTCTTCTAAGCAGTTGTCTAGAAAACTGAAACTGAAAATAGTTGACGCTCACAAAGCTGGAGAAGGTTATAAGAAGATAGCAAAGCGTTTTCAGATGTCAATATCCTCTGTTCGGAATGTAATTAAGAAATGGCAGTCATCAGGAACAGTGGAAGTTAAAGCAAGATCTGGAAGACCAAGAAAAATATCAGACAGAACAGCTCGCTGGATTGTGAGAAAAACAATTCAAAACCCACGTTTGACTGCACGATCCCTCCAGAAAGATCTGGCAGACACTGGAGTTGTACACTATTCCACTATAAAGAGATACTTGTACAAATACGGTCTTCATGGAAGAGTCATCAGAAGAAAACCTCTTCTACGTCCTCACCACAAAAATCATCGTTTGAACTTTGCAAATGAACATATAGACAAGCCTGAGGCATTTTGGAAACAAGTTCTGTGGACCAATGAGGTTAAAATTGAACTTTTTGGCCAGAATGAGCAAAGGTACATTTGGAGAAGAAGGGGCACAGAATTTAATGAAAAGAACCTCTGTCCAACTGTTAAGCATGGGTTTGGATCAATCATGCTTTGGGGTTGTATTGCAGCCAGTGGCACAGGGAACATCTCACGAGTAGAAGGAAAAATGGATTCAATAAAATTTCAGCAAATTTTGGATGGTAACTTGATGCCATCTGTGAAAAAGCTGAAGTTAAAGAGAGGATGGCTTCTACAAATGGATAATGATCCTAAACACACCTCGAAATCCACGGGGGATTACATCAAGAGGCGTAAACTGAAGGTTTTGCCATGGCCTTCACAATCTCCTGGCCTAAACATAATTGAAAATCTATGGATAGACCTTAAAAGAGCAGTGCGTGACAGACAGCCCAGAAATCTCAAAGAACTGGAAGACTTTTTGTAAGGAAGAATGGGCAAAGATACCTCAAACAACAATTGAAAGACTCTTGGCTGGCTACAAAAAGCGTTTACAAGCTGTGATACTTGCCAAAGGGGGCAGTACAAGATATTAACTCTGCAGGGTGCCCAAACTTTTGCAGACGCGATTTTTTGTTTTCTGTTATTTTGAAAGTGTAAATGATGGAAATAAAATCTAACTTTTGTTGACATAAGAATGTCTAATCTGTAATTTGATGCCTTTTGGAGATTTTTCCATCTTTCCTTGGCTTCTTTATGCACATTAATACAAATTTTTAGCTGGGGTGCCCAAACTTTCGATCGCCACTGTATATATACAGTATATATATCTCAATCCCACTGCAAGCCCCTTAACTCTTAATCAGGGACCAACCTTCACCCATCTCGGCGGGCCTTGTCCTAAAGACCTTCAAGGACTGCCCCTTTTTTAAATGAGGGCCACTGCCTTGGACCCGTATGACACCCTGCCGGAAGCGCCTTGGTCAGATCAAACTGCACAGGGTTCCTAAAACACAAGGTCCAGCACCGTAAAGCCGCATTACAGGCAAAACCCTGAGGATTCTTCTCCTTATCCAGCGAGGCTCGGGTACCATCCATATTGGCTAACAGCTTTTGAAATGCATCTGACTGAGGCGCTTGACTCTCAGTAGAGTTGTTCTAGACCTCCCAGTATGCTTCACAGAGCATATGCAGCACATGTTCAGTGAACATCCACCTTACAGAAAAAACGGAGTACTTCCAGTGTAGGAGGGGTTATATGGGGGAGGACTTCCTGTTCGATTGGTCAGCCAGTGTCCATTCACCTATAGGTGGCATATAACCCACATAGTCATTATTATGGCCTGCTCTGTGTTCCGTCATGTATGATAAAGAAAAAAAACAAAAACAGGACAAGTGCAACCAAGAACTGTCTGGGTCTTACTGATATTACACACACAAGTACGCACTTTAGCTTGTGTTTATGAATTTGTGTAAATATGTCAGTAAAATAAGTTTGGAGAATACCAGTAGTGACCAGCTGCAGTTTGCCAGCTCCTACTTTTTTCAGCTGGCTATTTGATCTCTGAAAAATATGTTCAGGCCCTACAAGGTACCACAACAGACAAGATCCTGAACATTTAGTTTTTTCCACTGAAGTCAAAACAATACACATTGGACAAGGCTGTGATTTGATAAAGGAAAAAGCAGCTCAATGATTTACTTATTTATTTTTTATTACACTCAACAACCTTTATTTTTTTATATTGCAAACTCTATGAAAAGCAGTAAAACCTGACTGTCTTAAGGCGGATGTTCAGAAGGTTATAGGGAACTTGTAGAAAGATTAAATGTAGACTGAAGTACTATTTAAAAAATAAATAATGCACAAATGTTGTAAAGCACTGTGTAAACTGTTGGGGCTATAAAAATCCTGTATAATAGTAATATAATAATAATAAATGGATCATTGGGAATCTTTTATATCTGCCTATATTTACACTTTAGGGTTAGAGCGACTAGGACCTATCTGGTTTTTATGTCACTTTAAAGAACTTACCTCCCCGGTATTAGGATCCGAGCAAAGTATTTTTGAATCCTTTCCAGAGCTCAGCAACAGTTCTGGGTCTGCTACACTCCAAGCAATAGCCAAAATGCCCCTGAAATGACAAGCATACAATTAGAAAATGTTCTTTGCCATGATACAACCTTATCAATATTAGCACTTGTGGAAAAACTTTGAAAATAACTCATAATAAAGTGAAGTCTGAACACAGACAATTTCTCTCTCGAAAAAATAAAATATACCAGAAATAGTAATACTCAAACCTTGTATGATTTTCCATCACCCTTAATGGAGAAGAAGCAAATCTGAGATCCCACATTTGAATGACAGGTAGCCGGTCGTCCTCTGATGATAAAATCATTTGAGTAGCAACATCAGGGTTCCATGCCATGCCAGAACAATGCATCTGATCAAAAATAAAAGTAAAATATACAGTAAAGAAAATCACAAAGATTCTATGAAATGCAAAATATATGTGTGGATGGCAACTGTACCCTGTTGCTGTGGTCGCTGACTTTTAAAATTGGTTCATTCTTCCTGAGATCCCACACAGTGGCCCGACCACTGGGGCTTGTAGAAGCCAGAATATGCTGAACTTGTCTGTTCCATGCGATACAACCTATGTCTTCTGGAGGCTACAAGAAATTACATCAAGCTTTAAAAAGGTAGGTGCGTATATGTGGCTAACTTGCTATCATACAAAATGTACATTTTCAAAGATGAATCTCTTCAGAACAACACAATAGATATCCTCCAACAAGGCTCACGCAGGTGAAAGTGCTAATGACATGGCTTTAAATTTGAACTTAAAGCAGAGCTCCAGTCACCATAATCAATTTTGTTTTTAATTCCCTTGTGATTGTTATTACTTGTACATTTAAAATTAGAATACTGTTAGAACAGTATTCGTGCTGGTTAGCTTAAAATCTTTAAAAATGTACCTGATCTCAGACGCAGGCAGGTGGCCATTTAGGATGTGGGCATCTAAAGTCCACTTGTGTCTTTTTGGCTACCCAGCATGCACCTCCCAATCTCGAGCCAGCGCAGTAATGACACTGCACGGCGTGTTGTGTTTAGCACAGGTTGCCATAGCAATTGCGGCGTCACGGAAGTACCCACCCTGTTGCTATGGCAACCTGTCAATCACATTACATTATTAGGCTTCCCAAAGACTCAATGTGATTCGCCTAATGACATCATCGCTTAGGCGGCCGGACAGGAAGTGCCGCCCGAAGAATTAAATTAAAGGTATTTAGAAACAAACAAAAAAAAATATTTCCATTTTGCACTGTACATTGGAGGGGCATTTGAAATATTTCAAGTTCAAAAAAAGGCTGGAACTCCGCTTTAAAAGGAGAACAAGGTGAAAAATACAAAATTTGACATGTCTTCTAGGTTGCTAGCATGATTAACACTTCCCAGTCCCTATGCTCTTTTAAAGGAGAAGTAGGGCCAAAGCTTATTTGGCCCTATGTCTTCTGTGGGTCATAGAAGTGCACTCAATTCTGCATTCCTGTGACCCAGATTCAGCTGGCTGAGGTCTAAAGACCAATAACGGCTGATGTCACTCAGCCTGTCCAGACTCTGGAGGGATCCTGACTTTAATGTTGGGATCCACCCAGATTACTAAGAGGAAACTGGCTCAGCCTCTCAGTGTGCTGCTGAGAATCTGAGCCAACTGCTTCCGTCCCCTCCACAGCCCGACACTCCAGAACGCACTGGAGGGGCAGAGCTAAGTCAGTCACCAGCTTTCTGCTCAATGAAGATAGAGAACCAAGCGAGGTCTTTGATCACTCAGTTCTCGGTCTTAGAGGTAGTGGGGGACAGATGCAGCATCAGACCAATTCTGCATCCACCTAAGTGAGTATTATTTATTTGTTTTATTTTAATCCCACACTTCTCTTTTAAAGTGTTACTAAAACACTCCATCTGGTCTCTCACAGTACACACTAAATGTAAATGCAGTTTTTAGTTTAGTTATTTTAGTAAATATAAACTGCTAAATACCTTTTCTCATCAGCAGTATATAACAGTCTTGTGACTTCTATCAGTGTTCAGCAGAGCACTGGTTAAGGCTTGTAGGAGAAGGTTTCCTTCTGCTCACGGAGGATGCAGAACCCCTGACATCTATCTAGACATTGCTGATCGGCCCTGTGCTAATCACATGCACTTTCCCAAGAAAAAAAAAACCTCTCTAGCAATATACAGCAAACTGAGCATGTGCAGAGTGTCTCCACATGATATGTCTTATCAGGAGATAAGAGGGGGGCACTAGAAGAAGGGGAGGATCAGAGAAGCCATGATCAAACTGCATATTTACACAATGCAGAGGATTAACCCCTTAGATTCCACAGTTCCACATATCAAGCATGCTTTACTACATATACAGACTGATTTTACTGTTGTGGGTTTAGTAACACTTCAAGGTTAAAAAAACACCTGGTGATCTTGCCAGCAGAACTGTTGCAGGCATCCTTTGAAAAGGGTAACAAAGATCTCCCCGTGCTATAAAAAGCACTGCAGCATTGTGACCCTTGAGCCAATGTCCCTTCTAAAGCTAAAGCGAGACATAATAATACATGAAGAGGGCATTACTTAACATGTTGTCACCACTGAATGACAATCCTCCAGGCGGTCAATCAGCAGCTCGCGGTCAATCAGTAGCTGGCCATACCAAATTCCATCTATCAACTTCATAATTGACTGCAAATCAGTGTAGACCTCCCCAGTGCTTTAGGGCAATGTTACTTCTGTAGGATCTTGAGTGTCCCAAGAAAATGGCATCCAAGCCCTATTGAGGTCCACTCAAGCGGGGATGCACAAGCAGGATTTTTAGGTCATATAACCAGATGAATGCTTATAACAACCTTTGGGGAACATATCAGACTCAGAGAGTGATCATTAGGGGAAAAAAACCTTTTTGCCGTATGATTTACTTTATAAAAAAGGAACAAAATCAGACAACTTTGTTTACCTGACTTTTAGCTCCTGGTGTCATAGGAACAGCAAAGTTATTCAAATCCCAAATGTAGATTTCAGATTCATTGGCACCCGATGCTACAAGGTTTGTCTATGGGGAAAAAAAAAAAAAGGAAAAACTTGAATCAATACAAACATGGATAAAAAAAAAGCAAACTACTAGTGCAGAAAAATAAAAATAAATTGCAATCCAATATAAGCTTAATTCAAAAATGTCACAATGTGAATGTGGATGCTCACAAAGCAAGTTTACAAACCTATGCAGACAGATATAGCCACAGATTTAGCACAGATGACAAACTGGAAGCTATCAATGTCAGCCTCCATGTCTAATTTGAGCAGTGTTCACTTTAACCGCCTCCCGCCCGCCATATAGTAATATGCCGGATGTAAGGCGGTTCTCTCGTTCTGGGAGGACGTCATATGACGTCCTCCCATTCTAACTGCGCATGTGTGGGCTCCCGGAGCGCGCAGCGCGGCGATCGTCGGTGCGCTGTGTCCCTCGGACACAGCGGATCACCGATCCACGGAAAGAGCCGAAGATGTCGGCTCGGTCATGTGAACAGCTGTGTCCAATCACAGCTGATCACATGTAAACAGGGAAATGCCGGTTATCGGCATTTCTCTCCCCACGAGCTGTCAGGAGAGCCGGTAATCGGCATTCCTCAGAGGGGACATGTACACTGATCATCAGAGCACTCATGATCAGTGTGCCCTGATGATGTGTAGCCCCAGCAGTGCCACCTGTCAGTGTCCATCAGTGCCAGCTCTCAGTGCTCACCATACCACCTGCCAGTGCCCACCAGTGCCACATCAGTGCCACATTTCAGTGCCCATCAGTGCCACATCAATGCCACATATCAGTGCCCATCTGAGCTGCCTTTCAGTGTCACTCATCAGTGCCAGTCAGTGCCACCTATCAATGCCAGTCAGTGCCGCCGCCTATCAGTGCCGCCTATCAGTGCCGCCTATCAGTGCCGCCTAACACTGCCAGTCAGTGCCACCTAACAGTGCCGCCTATCAGTGCCATATATGAGTGCTGCCTTTTAGTGCCCATCAGTGATGCCTGTCAATGCCCATCAGTGCCACCTACCAGTGCCTCCTCATCAGTGCCACATATCAGTGTCCATCAGTGCCCATCAGTGCAGCCTCATTAGCGCATATCAGTGAAGGAGAAACATCACTTATTTACAAAAGTTTATAACAAAAAAACTAAGAAAAAACATTTTTTTTTTCAAAATTTTCAGTGGTTTTTGGTTTAAGAAAAAATAAAAACCCAGAGGTAATTAAATACCACCAAAATAAAGCTCTATTTGTCACAAAAAAATGATAAAAATTTAATATGGGTACAGTGTTGCATGACCGCGCAATTGTCATTCTAAGTGCAACAATGCTGAAAGCTGGAAATTGGCCTGGGCAGGAAGGGGGTATACGTGCCCTGTAGGCTAGTGGTTAAAGGGCACCTTGATGCAGTATATTTGTTGACTGCATGCAAACAAAGAATGAAATATGCAGCAAAAACCTTATTTTTAATCAAAGGCAGGCCATAGATTATGTTATTTTCTTTCCTGCAACCACAATTTGCAGGAAAGACAATTGCTCAATTCCCCATTCAACACAGCTAGTGTTGATGGAGGAATCCTTCCTGTGGAGCTATTGTGTTCCCCCCAAACAGGGAGCTCTGTACGTTTATGTTCCAGAGTGGTATCCTATTCCTGAAGAAGATAATTTTTGAAACAATTTCGAAATGTGTAGGATTTCCCTAGCTGTATAAACTAACAATCAAGGGAACATGGTTGTGGGGTAAAAAGCAGCTGTGGGGGATACCACTGGATGTGATTGTAACTTGTTACAAGTCTCACTATGTGATATTCAAAATCCTCCATTTGTGCTTGAAGTTTATTATGGAGATTGTTTTTATGTATTTGGCATAATGTTAAGTGTATAAAGAAACACTGATATTTTATTTGAAATATGTGGTAGTTGGTTGCTTTCAAAATCCCATAAAGCATACAATTGTGTTTTGTTTATATAACCCTTTCATGCACAGTGGTCACTACAGTGGACAGCTATTTAAAAGCTGTATTATTGTAGGTGAATGGGTTCTGTTTGTATAGTTGAATATCACCCTGTCCATTGGATGCTAGTGAATCATCCCATACTCTGCCACCCACTGGTCAGCCATTGTAAAAAAAAAACAAAGGATAAGCAGCTTAGGAATATCTTGCCAATATCTCTATATCTCTATAAATAAAATTATATATATATATATATATATATATATATATATATATATATATATATATATACAGTGGGGATTGAAAGTTTGGGCACCCCAGCTAAAAATTGTATTAATGTGCATAAAGAAGCCAAGGAAAGATGGAAAAATCTCCAAAAGGCATCAAATTACAGATTAGACATTCTTATAATATGTCAACAAAAGTTAGATTTTATTTCCATCATTTACACTTTCAAAATAACAGAAAACAAAAAAATGGCGTCTGCAAAAGTTTGGGCACCCTGCAGAATTTATAGCATGCACTGCCCCCTTTGCAAAGCTGAGACCTGCCAGTGTCATGGATTGTTCTCAATCATTGTCTGGGAAGACCAGGTTATGTCAATCTCAAAGGTTTTAAATGCCCAGACTCATCTGACCTTGCCCCAACAATCAGCACCATGGGTTCTTCTAAGCAGTTGTCTAAAAAACTGAAACTGAAAATAGTTGACGCTCACAAAGCTGGAGAAGGTTATAAGAAGATAGCAAAGCGTTTTCAGATGTCAATATCCTCTGTTCGGAATGTAATTAAGAAATGGCAGTCATCAGGAACAGTGGAAGTTAAAGCAAAATCTGGAAGACCAAGAAAAATATCAGACAGAACAGCTTGCAGGATTGTGAGAAAAAAACAATTCAAAACCCACGTTTGACTGCACGATCCCTCCAGAAAGATCTGGCACTGGAGTTGTGGTACACTATTCCACTATAAAGAGATACTTGTACAAATATGGTCTTCATGGAAGAGTCATCAGAAGAAAACCTCTTCTACGTCCTCACCACAAAAATCATCGTTTGAACTTTGCAAATGAACATATAAACAAGCCTGATGAATTTAGAAACAAGTTTTGTGGACCGATGAGGTTAAAATTGAACTTTTTGGCTGGAATGAGCAAAGGTACGTTTGGAGAAGAAGGGGCACAGAATTTCATGAAAAGAACCTCTGTCCAACTGTTAAGCATGGGGTTGGATCAATCATGCTTTGGGGTTGTGTTGCAGCCAGTGGCACAGGGAATATCTCACGAGTAGAAGGAAAAATGGATTCAATAAAATTTCAGCAAATTTTGGATGGTAACTTGATGCCATCTGTGAAAAAGCTGAAGTTAAAGAGAGGATGGCTTCTACAAATAAATAATGATCCTAAACACACCTCGAAATCCACGGGGGATTACATCAAGAGGCGTAAACTGAAGGTTTTGCCATGGCCTTCACAATCTCCTGACCTCAACATAATTGAAAATCTACGGATAGACCTTAAAAGAGCAGTGCGTGACAGACAGCCCAGAAATCTCAAAGAACTGGAAGACTTTTATAAGGAAGAATGGGCAAAGATACCTCAAACAAGAATTGAAAGACTCTTGGCTGGCTACAAAAAGCGTTTACAAGCTGTGATAGTTGCCAAAGGGGGCAGTAGAAGATATTAACTCTGCAGGGTGCCCAAACATTTGCAGACGCCATTTTTTTGTTTTCTGTTATTTTGAAAGTGTAAATGATGGAAATATAATCTAACTTTTGTTGACATATTATAAGAATGTCTAATCTGTAATTTGATGCCTTTTGGAGATTTTTCCATCTTTCCTTGGCTTCTTTATGCCCATTAATACAAATTTTTAGCTGGGGTGCCCAAACTTTCGATCCCCACTGTATATGTGGAAATATCTAATAACACCTAAAAAAAATATTGTAATTAGATTTTACTAGTATTGATTTTATCTTTACAATTCATCTGTCCACTAAATTGGACATCGTGCATCACTGGCTATATTTCAGCTATAATTCATATTAATATTGCAACTTTGTTTTTATTGAAAATAATATAGCTGCAGTAACTTTTTAGGCTGTAAATCAATTTATTCAAGCTATTAGAATGCAATTTGCAGTTTTGTAAGAAAACATCAATATGTGCAGATAAGTTTCATAATGCAAGTAACAGTTAAAGTGGTAGTAAAGTCCACATTTCAAAAATCGCTGACAGGCAGGGTTTTTATAACAGCAGAGACCCTAGTGGTCTCTTCTGTTATAGATGCCCCCCTCCCTGTCAGCAATAATGTGATCTGAGCTCGTGTATGCCTATGGCCCACTCCGTGTGCCACAGTGATGTGACTCCCGTGCCTGGCCATTCAAGCAGCTGAAGATACGGAACCCTGAAGGAAAACTGAGTGAAGATAAAAGTGCTAGGAACCTGGGGAATTTTATTCTTTAGGACCTCTGCTTAAAAATATATATAATGTTTGGGGGTTCTAAGTAATTTTCTATCAAAAAAAATGAAGTTTTTTTTACATGCATGACAGAAATGACAGAATTGGCTCGGTAGGTTAAACCTTAAAAAATGTTTTATTTTTTTTTCCAGGAGACTTCACTACTACTTAAATGTCTTTATATTTTGTAGAACTCAAATGCAGAGCATGACAGAAAGGCCTATAGGATAGTGGAGAAAATATCATCTGTCAAGTCTTCAGGTAAAGACTCAAACTCACATGGACAGGTGCAGAACTCCTTGGAAAATGAATGTTCAAGAAAAAAAAAATGTTTTTACATTTTCTCATTTCATTCCCAAAGAGTAAAAAAAACACTGAGGAGAAAATCCTGACTGTGGCTTTCATAATTCACGCATGAAATGTTTTAAAAGTTACAACCAGTTTAAAGCAAAATTCCATGGTTCAATGCACTTTAACCACTTGTCATCCTCTCTATAGCAGAAGTACTGCTGCAGGGCGGCACGCTGTGCAAAATCATGCATATATATATATGATTTGCATTTTCGTGTAAGGCGCGCGCGCCACCCTACCCGCACTATTTCCACTACTGTACAACATGGCCATCATGTGTACTGTAATAAACTGTAGTAGCTACATGCAGTAAGCGATGCTGTGTTCCACCAGCAGTATAGGCGACTTCCCCTCTGCTGCTGGAATTAAAGAGATAGTCAGGCTGAGTGCTACTGTGCCATTCCACAGAAGCCTTGTATTTTTTATCAATGGCAGAGAAGAATTAAACCTGACTCTCTTTACTTGTGGAAGCAGAAGGGAAGTCGCTCGTACCGCTGGTGGAACACAGCACAACTTACTGTATGTAGCTAATGAGACTACAGTATATCACTGCACACACAGTGGCTGCATTGCTCAGTAACAAAAATAGTTTGTTTTGGGCACTGAAACCTTGACTTCTACTTTAAATCAGGACGGGAAGCTTTGCCGATGCGGGCACCACCACCATAATAGCACCCTTGTCACTGCAAATCGCAACAACAGCACCCTGGTTACTGTCATACCAGCGCCCTGATCACTGCCATACACCATACCAGCGCCCTGGTAACCGCCATGCCCCATACTAGCATCCTGATCACCCCATATGCCAAACCAGCGTCCTGATCACTCCATTTGCCATACCAGTGTCCTGATCACTGCCATACTCCATACCAGCGTTCTAATCTCCGCCGTACCTCATGCTAATGTCCTGATCACCGCCATACCCCATGCCAGCGTCCTGATCACTGCCATACATCATACAGCATTTTAAGGTCTCAACTGATCAATTTTCAAATATATATCCCATAATTTGTAGACTCTATAGCTTTCAGACAGACTAAATAATATAAACGGTTTTGTCTGATTTTTACCCAAAAAAATGTACCAGAATGCATTTTGGCCTAAATGTATGAAGAAAAATTATTTATTTGCAACATTTTATGACAAAAACTAAGCAAAAAATTATTCTTCAAAATTTTCAGTATTTTGTTTTTAAATAGAAAAAATAACAACAACCGGGGGTGATCAAATACCACCAAAAGAAAACTCTGTCTCAAAAAGAGGATAAAAATGTCATATGGGTACAGTGTTGCATGACTGAGTAATTGTCAAATGTGAGAGTGCTGAAAGCTGAAAATTGGCCTGGACTGGAAGGGGGTGAAAGTGTCCGGACTTGAAGTGGTTAAACAGATGCAACAACAACAAGCAAAAGCTCTAACACCCAGCTGTTATAAAATACATGCAACAGAAAGCATTTATGAAAATCTAACCTGAAAGGGGTTTACATCCAACGCTCTGACTGGTCCTGTATGTTTATCTTGCTGTGCAATCACCACATCGTCATCACCAGCCATAATTTGAGCTGGGTCGTAAAGAATTACATTTCCATTTTCTCCTCCAGCGATAATAACTCCTGAAATACTGCAATCTGATTTTATCCTGTGCGGTCCCCAAATTAGCTTATGATACCTGAAAACACATAAAAATAAATATGCCATAAGGAAATCAATGGCACCAAATGGAAATAGGTACAACTGAAATTAAAACATAAACTGGACAATATAATAAAAAGAAATAAGGGATGAAACATGACTGAACAAGTGTCAGTAGCCCCCCTCCTAAAAAAAAAAATGTACTCCTAATAATTTATATAATTTTTCTGTGCCACTTATTTCTTTATTAAAACTTTCCTAAGGGCTTTTTTCACACAATACATGCATGAAAAACTGATAGGAAAACCAGATTTCACTTGCAGAGACATGAGTTTACATCAGTTTCACACCAGTTTTCATGCACGTTGAGGGCCAGTTCCCACCACAAAATCACACTCCAGATGCTTTCCAGATGACTTTTTGCTTACACTCCGTTCCGATGTGTTTTTCTGTATTACAGTACAGTTCTGAGCAGAAAAAATGCAGCATGTTTTTTCTGCACCAGAAACTGACTGGAATTGACTGCAATTGTGTGAACTAGGGCCATTGAAATACACGGAAAACATTGTGCATGCATTTTGATGCAGAAAAAAAAATGCGCTGGACTGCATCTGGTGTGAATCAGCCCTGACACCAGTCTTCATGTGTGTCAGTTACGTGCCCTTTCGAAGTCTCTTTTTTCTCCCCGAGAAAAACTGCATACACGTTGCAGATTTCCTCGCAGAAAAAAAAAACCCACAAGTGATACCTGTGTTGTGGTGTGAATAGAGTGCATAAAGAACAATTGTTTTTTGCCCTTGCAGAATGTGTGCAGAAAAAACTGATTTCTCTGCACACTGGTGTGAACAAGGCCTTAAAGATGAACTACCTGGTGGCCAGGTCAGGGCTAAGCAGTAGGCGTAGAGATGTCAGTTAAAGCAAACTAAACCCTCCTATCGCATTCAGCCAAGGAAGCTGCCATCTTCAGCCTCTGTTTAATCTTAAACTGTTGTGATTCACATATGAACTGCTGCACATGTGATCAGTTATGACAGCAGCCATTTTATAGTTTGACAGTTTGGTTGAGAGCGCAAGCAAATGTGACAGTTACATTCCTGGCATATGACAGGAATGTACCTTGAAACTTTTTCGATTGATGGGTTTAGTTCTGCTTTAAGCATCTCCGTCCTGTATAGCCTAGAAAGGGGTCAGCAGAGGCCTGAAAGCAATGTCACCAGAAAATGTAACCCTCTGTGGCTTAGTCTTAGACCCAAGCCATGCTGAGATGGGGGAAAAAAAAAAAAACCTAGCAAACACAGACTAAAAAATGCATTCATTTATTTTCAAAGTGGGCACACTATCTGCATTTACAAGCATTTCAACCTCTTAAAGTCCAGGGTAATTTTTTAATTTTTCACATTTGTATTAAAATCTGCATATTTTCCTAAAAAAATGCTTAAATCCCTAAACAATTACATATTTACTGAAAGCAGAAGCCCTGCAAAATGAAATGGTGGCAGCTGCAATTTTTTATGTTGTACAATATATTGTGTGCAAATGATGATCAAATGTACATTTTAAGGAAAAGTAGAATAAAATGAATTTTGGTGCACAAACACAGTATACTATAAAACACAGCTTTTTAAGTGAGATATAAAAGATGGGGTTTTGTTGTGAATAAATAGATACCAAACATATTAAGTCCTAAAGTTGTACGCACTTGTGAAACTGCAATAAAACTATGATACCCAAATCTGTTCATAGGTGACACTTTAAATGCCTTTACAGGTTATCAATTCAGAGTTAGTCATGAATGCTAGCTCTAAAATGAATACACCCAGTCCGACGAAGATACTAAACGTGTGGCGTAATAACTGTTTTTACACACGTGTGCATTTTATGTGTTTGCATTTGTGCGCCTGTGAGTGGAGCAAAACAGGTACTCTCAGGTTTTGTTTTAATCTTTTAATTATTTTGTTAAAAAGTTGTTTATTCCACATTTACTTTATTGCTATCACAAGGGGGCTAACAAGCCAGAAAAGGTACTATGTTGTCAGCTCACAACTGAAAATTTGGAGCTTAGTACATTTTGGCAGATCAGCAGGTACTTTTTTGTATTTACAGCATCTTTAAAGGGATAAAACAGAAGGAAATGTGCATGTATAAATGTACTGCATACATGTTTTTGCCCTCTTAAAAAAAAAACAAAAAAAAAAAAACACCTGAATGTATTTTTTAGGCTCAAAAACAAACTTGCAAAAACTGTCACAGGTTAATCAATTTAGTCAATTGATCCTGTTGCTTTGCCCAGCAGTGATTTGACTGAATGAAGAGAAAAGAAGAGTGGATGACTGACATGTCTCAAGTCAGAACTAGAACTTACAACACTAGGCACATTTCAAAGCACAAAGTGGGGACATTTAGATCTATTTATCCACTTTCAACTCTGAGTAAATCTTGTATACTGTAGAAAAAGTAAATTTCATACCTGTGAGAAGATGCAAATGTAGCACATGATTTCATGTCCAGTGAAGGGTCATCCAAATCTAGTTCAAAGGATCTCCAAAGAGGCATTTGTGCTAAAAGTGGCATCTAGCTGCTGAGCAGAAGTTCCTGACAAAATAACAAAAAAATTGTGACTGAGCTTCCACTCTCATACACAGTTTTTCTTTAATCCCAAGTATAGGTTCACCTTTACCAATACATTACATACTAAGTACAGGTTTAGCATGGGTTCAGTTACGCTTTAAAATGTATCCTTGGTACAATGCTGTGTGCCAAGAATGCATTAATAAACATCCATCCTCTGAAAGCCAACAGCTGATTCTTTCTGTGATAATATAGAAACTGTGAGTAGCAGGGGCTGAAAATAAAAATAATACATAATAAATTAAGAACATCAAAAGTACTTAATCACCAGAACACCTTCCCTGTTGCAGGAAAATCTTTAGCATGATTACTGACACCGTAAGATACAAATGTTTCAGGGCCAAACAAAACCCCTTTGTTTAGGTAGAGTGTCTTTTAGGGTCAAGACACTCACCACCCCCATAATAAACATTTTGACAAAGAAAGGTTTGCTGGCAAAAAGTATTTCTGTTTTCAATATTTACAACTTTTGAAGCAATATACAATATTTATAAGTGTCTAGTTTAGCTTTGAGGACTGAGTCATTCTTGACAAGTGAACAGAAAATCTGTAGAAACACAACAGGGTGGGATAAGCAGGCTTTTTATGTCTACTGGCAGCTAAAATTACTCATCTTTCTAATTAAGTTTGCAGTAGTCCTTTAGAAGTACATAGATGTAACTAAAGAACAGCTCCAGACTAAACACATAGGGGCATATTTATAAAGTAGTGACTCTGACATTAAGCAAACATATTCTGCAGTGTTTTAAATGGCAGTGATTAATTCCCTATGACAGCAATGTTTATTAAAAGTCACATTCACTGCTTCATAAAATAGATCCTATAGTTTACATACATACTTATTAACTGCTCATCTGCCAAAACATGCTATTTTGTTCAGCCACATTTTTTATTCACTCAACTTTGCAAAACAGCACAATCAGGAGGGTGACATTACTTTCCCTGTTATAGTTAGGGAACAAAAAATAAAAATAGGGCAGTACAGTGGCTAAATGGTTAGCACTTCCGCCTGGCAGTACTAGGGTCGTTGGTTCGAATCCCAACCACGGCACCTCCTGCCTGGAGTTTGCATGTTCTCCCTGTGCCTGCGTGGGTTTCCTCCGGGTACTCCGGTTTCTTCCCACACTCCAAAGACATGCTGGTAGGTTAATTGGCTCCTTTCTAAAGTGGCCCTAGTATGTGTATGTATGAATGCAAGTTAGGGACCTTAGATTGTACACCTCTTGAGGGTTAGGGACTGATGTGAATGTATAATATAAGTGTAAAGTGCTGCGTAAATTGACGGTGCTTTATAAGTACCTGTAATAAATAAATAAATAAAGATTTTTGTTCTTACTATAAAACCTTTTTCATTGAGTCCATTAAGGGGCACAGGTCCCACCACTCTGTGTTTTTTGCTGACTCTATATATTACTTACCCACAACCCCCACCTAGCATGCCTTGGTTTTATTTTGGGTGCTAGCTTACCATTTGCCTATTTGCCAGTGTCCCAACTTCCTGTAGGCGGCAGTATAATCCAACTTTTTCTGAATACTTGTGTAGTTCAATGAACTTGAGAAAAAGATTTACATTAAGTACAAAAAAAATCCTATTTTCCTTCCTCATCCATTGAAGGACACTGGAATTCATAAAGAGACAGGGCATCCAAAAGCAGTCCAACTGAGAGGTGGGTGCAGAACAGCCACTGACAGAACAAAGAAGTGACCAGGAACCATCTGTAACCCAGGACTACCAGAAGAACCAACGCCCAAAGCCTAACCAGATATGATAAAAGTCTCCTGTGAAACAGGGGAGGCCTGCCAATGACCAAAGGAGACCACCGAAGACTAACAGGATGCTTAGAGCAGAAGAGATAACTGCCGATGCAAATGACTCTAAAGGAACAACAAGTTTGCATCTGAAAGGTGCTGCAAACGAAAACACCTAAAAATAGGTGAAACAGGGCAGCTACCTGAAAAGGAACAAACAGCATAATATTGTTAACAAAAACAACACTGGGGAAAATCCCCAGGACAAGAGGTCCCAAGATGGAACTGTGAACAAAAAAAGTCCACAAAAGACCAGCTGGTCTACAAGTGTAAGGTTCAAGCATCACACTTCCAACTTTGGGAATTCAGGGATGGAAAATAATAAGATAAGAATGAGGTTGCCTGTTCAGACAACCCATTGTTTCAGTAAGAAAAAAATACTACGAACTGAGAAGGCTATCAAAATCAGTTAGGCTTTTTTTCAGTAGAGCTGAGGAAAAGGCATGCAACCTTCTAAAACAACAGGAAAAAACTGAGGCTTCCAGGGTAGAGGTTGCATGGGTACTGGCTTACCATTTTTTTCTGTTTGCCAGTGTCCCAATCTCCTGTAGGTGGAAGTAAAATCTGAATTCCTGTAACCATCAAGAGACACCGGAGAAATAGTGTTACCTCCCTGCCACAGTCTATTCCCTCTCAAACCTGAAACATGATAGGGCAGCTCCCTCTCCTATCTGTATTTACCATGGAACATTTAGCAACACCCCATTGTAATAATCCAACCATACTAGGAATTAAAATTGGTCCCACGGAATATAAAATTGCACGTTATGTCCCCACAGTTTGGGGACTTGAGCAACTTTAAGGTAAACCTCAACAAATCTGAACTCCTGAAAATATCGCTTATAAATCCAGCGGTAAATTCTATACGTGCCTTCTTTGCTTTTGAATGCAAAGCCACTTAACCACTAGCCTACAGGGCACTTATACCCCCTTCCTGCCCAGGCCAATTTCCAGCTTTCAGCGCTGTTGCACTTTGAATGACAATTGCGCAGTCATGCAACACTATATCCATATGAAATTTTTTATCATTTTTTTTTTGTGACAGATAGAGCTTTATTTTGGTGGTATTTAATCACCTCTGGGATTTTTATTTTTTTTATTAAACAAACCAAAAACCACTGAAAATTTTGAAAAAAAAAAAAGTTTTTTCTTAGTTTTTGTTATAAAATTTGTAAATAAGTGATTTTTCTCCTTCACTGATGTGCACTAATGAGGCTGCACTGATGGGCACTGATAGGCTGCACTGATGAGGAGGCACTGGTAGATGGCACTGATGGGCATTGACAGGCCTCACTGATGGGCACTGAAAGGCAGCACTCATATATGGCACTGATAGGCGGCACTGATAGACGGCACTGACTGGCACTGTTAGGTGGCACTGATAGGCAGCACTGCCGGGCACTGATAGGCGACGCTGATTGGCAGTACTGATAGCTGGCACTGACTGGCATTGACTGGCACTGATTTGGTGACACTGAAAGGCATCTCAGATGGGCACTGATATGTGGCATTGATGTGGCACTGATGGGCACTGGCAGGTGGCATGCATGAGCACTGAGAGCTGGCACTGATGGACACTGACATGTGGCGCTGCTGGGGCTACACAGATCATCAGGGCACACTGATCATGAGTGCTCTGATGATCTGTGTACATGTCCCCTCCGAGGAATGCCGATTACCAGCTCTCCTCTCCTCACGAGCTGTCAGCATGACAGCTCGTGGGGAAAAATGCCGATAACCGGCATTTCCCTGTTTACTGTGATTGGACACAGCTGATCACATGACTGAGCCGACATCTTCGGCTCTTTCCGTGGATCAGTGATCCGCTGTGTCCGAGGGACACAGCGCACCGCCAATCGTCGCGCTGCGGGCTCCGAGAGCCGCACATGCACGGTTAGAATGGGAGGACGTCATATGATGTCCTCCCAGAACGAGAGAACCGCCTTGCATCCGTCATATTACTATATGGCGGGCGGGTGGCGGTTAAAGGAAAAGTTCACCTTTACACAAAAAATAATAAAGGCACATTTTTTTGCAGGTAAAAAAATGTGTATTTATTATTTTTTGTTGCAGCCATTGTACCAGCGATCAGCAAATTGCTGGTGCCATGCATGTCTCCTGCACATCTGTCAGAATATCTGCTTGCCTGTACAGGATGTATGGACAAGCAGATATACTGACAGGAAAACTCAATGAACTACCACAGCGCTTCACAGCGTAGTTTCTCATTCACATAACACTGTGAATGAGTGAGGTGGCCGGGCAGACAGAGCGAAGCTAGTTGTCAAAGCAGGGGAGTGGGGCCAGTGCATTCATAACATGTTACACCCTGAATATGGGTGTAACATGTTAGGAAAGGTGAACTTATCCTTTAAAAAAATCATACTAAAAATATCATGGCATACAAATCATTTCTAATCTCACTCAGTTATTTCCTCTAATACTACTGTATATGAGAAATGCTTAAATCAGTATTAAACCTAAAAGCAACATTTGTTATATTGCAGCTTACCACATCTTATATGTGGTGGCTGCATTAGTTTTCTTTTTAGGCTTTCTTTCTTGCCTCACCAATCCAGCCACCAAGTCTGTTGTTTTTCAACAGAACTAGCTCTCCAGCAAATGTAGCAGTTAGAGTGTTGAGACAAACCGTTTACCAGGGGTGCTTACAATGGTCAGCCTTTATTCATGGAAAGGCTATATCCTAAAAGAAAAAAAAAAACAGTTGCTATATCTGCTTGTGTAACTGCATTGTGAACTGGAGTTTGGCTTTAATTTGATAGTGTACCTAAATCTGCTAGTACATCTAACACTATGCTCCCTTCAGAGTGACAATGCTGCTGTCCAAAAGGTGCCTCCTGTGCTCCTTCATTAAGAGTAGAGGCACTCTAATACAGGAGATGTGTTACTAGCCATACCACTGTAGTGGATTGCGAAACACAGTCCACGTTCTATTAGATGATCAGTAAAATGACAATTTTATAGTCTTGCTACTTTCTGCTTCTTGCTCTTTAAATTCCTTACTCTCTTAAGTAAACAATCAGATATAGGTTGACAGAACAATGATGATAATTAAGATGGCGCCTTCATCCGGAGTCTCACCCTAGGTGACTCATTAGGAGAAAAGTATCTTTTAATGTAAACAACCCCCATAAAAGGGAATGAGTCTTTTTGGGGACAATGATTGGAAGATATCAACACGGGTGGAAAGGGGCGCCCAACCCCCCTCGTGCAACCAAGCAGAAACGAAGTGCCCCACAAGGGAGTTTTGACCCCCATGTCTATGTAGACGCAATAGGAGTCCCAAGGGGGGTACCCGATGAATTCAAGGCCAGAGACCAGGTGGCCGCAGGATTTGAACCCCTATTCCTCTTCATCACTGAGAACAAGAATGTAGATTGGATAAACTACATCTACTATAATCAACAACGGTTTGTAAATTACACACGAGATGCCCTAAAGGGGATAGCAGAGCAGTTGGAGGCTACTTCTAACATGATCTTTCAGAATCGTATGACACTCGATATGTTATTAGCTGAAAAAGGGGGAGTCTGTAAGATGATACCAAAGACCATGACCTGCTGTACGTATATCCCAGATAACACAGGCCCAAATGGGAAGGTGACACTGGCCATCAGGAGGTTGGAGGACCTATCAAATGAACTTAAGGAAAACTCAGGTATTACACATCCCTGGGATCAGTGGTTTGGATGGCTGAGTGGCTGGCAGAAAGCCCTCGCCCAAGCAGGGGTGGTTATCCTGGGTATTATCATTCTAATGGCAATAGTCACCTGCTGTGTGATCCCTTGCATTAAGAGGCTAATAGGAAAAGCTGTGAACGAGATCTCCCCTACATTCCTGAACTATAACAATGTTGAACTCCCCTGTGAAGAAAGGGAATCCTATACTCCCTTACAGACCGTGGCCCCTGATCATCATACTTCAGACTTATAAAAAAAAAAAAAGGGAATGCTACAATTTCCCCCCCCTTAACAGACAACTATAAGCAGGGAAAGACAGTGCCTGACTGTGGCCTTCTCAGGACGCATCGAGACTCTAGGGATGGATTAGCCACTCGGGGGCTCTATATGCGTCTTAAAAGAGTTCCAAGGGGAGGGCCACCAGGCAGTTAGGACATCAGAAGACATAGGGACAGTCAGGAATAAAATAGCCATTTTAAGGGGGGATTGTAGTGGATTGTGATAGACAGTCCACATTCTATTAGATCAGTGTTTCTCAACCTTCCTAATGCCGCGACCCTTTAATACAGTTCCTCATGTTGGGGTGACCCCCAACCATAAAGTTATTTTCGTTGCTACTTCATAACTGTAATTTTGCAGTGGGAGGACTAGTGCCCCATCATTGGTGTCAGTGGAAGGAGTAGTGCCCCATCACTGATGTCAGTGGGATGAATAGTGTCCCATCGTTGGTATCAGTGGGAGGAATAGTGTGGGAAAGAATAGTGCCCCATCATTGGTATCAGTGGGAAGAATAGTGCCCCATCATTGGTATCAGTGGGAGGAATAGTACCCCATCATTGGTATCAGTGGGAGGAATAGTGCCCCATCATTGGTGTCAGTGGGAGGAATAGTGCCCCATCATTGGTATCAGTGGGAGGAATAGTGCCCCATCATTGGTATCAGTGGGAGGAATAGTGCCCCATCATTGGTATCAGTGGGGAATAGTGCCCCATCATTGGTATCAGTGGGAGGAATTGTGTCCCAGCATTGGTATCAGTGGGAGGAATAGTGTCCCAGCATTGGTGTCTGTGGGAGGAATAGTGTCCCAGCATTGGTGTCTGTGGGAGGAATAGTGTCCCAGCATTGGTGTCTGTGGGAGGAATAGTGTCCCAGCATTGGTGTCAGTGGAAGGAATAGTGCCACATCACTGATCTCAGTGGGAGGAATAGTGTCCCATCGTTGGTTTCAGTGGGAGGAATAGTGCCCCATCATTGGTGTCAGTGTGGGAGGAATAGTGCCCCATCATTGGTGTCATTGGGAGGAATAGTGCCCCAACATTGGTTTCAGTGGGAGGAATAGTGCCCCATCATTGGTGTCAGTGTGGGAGGAATAGTGCCCCATCATAGTGGTGGTATCAGTGGGAGGAATAGTGTCCCATCGTTGGTATCAGTGTGGGAGGAATAGTGCCCCATCATTGGTGTCAGTGTGGGAGGAATAGTGCCCCATCATTGATGTCAGTGGGAGGAATGTGTGTGTGTTGGGGGGGGGATGAATAGTGCCCATCATTGGTGTCAGTGGGAGGAATAGTGCCACATCACTGATGTCAGTGGGAGGAATAGTGTCCCAGCATTGTGGGATGTCTGTGGGAGGAATAGTGCCCCATCATTGGTGTCAGTGTGGGAGGAGTAGTGCCACATCACTGATGTCAGTGGGAGGAATAGTGTCCCAATCGTTGGTTTCAGTGGGAGGAATAATGTGCCCATCATTGGTTTCAGTGGGGAGGAATAGTGCCCCATCATTGGTGTCAGTGTGGGAGGAATAGTGCCCCATCATTGTGGGAGGAATAGTGCCCCATCAGTGTCAGTGTGGGAGGAATAGTGCCCCATCATTGATGTCAGTGTGTGTGTGTGTGTGTGTGGGGGGGGGGGGGGGGAATAGTGCCACATCATTGGTGTCAGTGGGAGGAGTAGTGCCACATCACTGATGTCAGTGGGAGGAATAGTGTCCCAAGCATTGATGTCTGTGGGAGCAATAGTGCCCCATCATTGGTGTCAGTGGGAGGAGTAGTGCCACATCACTGATGTCAGTGGGAGGAATAATGTCCCATCGTTGGTTTCAGTGGGAGGAATAGTGCCCCATCGTTGGTGTCAGTGGGGAGGAATAATGTCCCATCGTTGGTTTCAGTGGGAGGAATAGTGCCCCATCATTGGTGTCAGTGTGTGTGTGTGTGTGGGGGAGGGGGAATAGTGCCCCATCATTGGTGTCAGTGGGAGGAGTAGTGCCACATCATTGATGTCAGTGGGAGAATAGTGCCCCATCATTGATGTCAGTGGGGGAGTAGTGTCACATCATTGATGTCAGTGGGAGGAGTAGTGCCACCACCATGGTGTCAGTGGGAGGAATAGTGCCCCATCATTGGTGTCAGTGGGAGGAATAGTGCCCCATCGTTGGTTTCAGTGGGGAGGAATAGTGTCCCCACATTGGTGTCAGTGGGGAGGAATAGTGCCCCATCATTGGTGTCAGTGGGAGGAATAGTGCCCCATCATTGTGTGTGTCAGTGGGGGGGGGGGTGTGTGGTGGGGGGGGAATAGTGCCCCATCGGGAGCAATAGTTGGGGTGGGGTCGGGGGAGGAATAGTGCCCCATCGTATGGGTCGGGGGGGAGGGGAATAGTGCCCCATCGTTGGTGTCAGTGGGAGGAATAGTGCCACATCCATCGTTGGTGTCAGTGGGGGAGGAGTAGTGCCCCATCGTTGGTGTCAGTGGGGGGAGGAATAGTGCCCCATCATTGGTGTCAGTGGGGGATGAATAGTGCCCCATCGATTGATGTCAGTGGGGGAGGGGAGGGAATAGTGCCCCATCGTTGGTGTCAGTGGGGGAGAGGAATAGTGCCCATCGTTGGTGTCAGTGGGGGGAGAATAGTGCCCCATCATTGGTGTCAGTGGGGGAGTAGTGTCACATCGTTGGTGTCAGTGGGGGGAGGAATAGTGCCCCATCATTGGTGTCAGTGGGGGAGGAATAGTGCCCCACCGTTGGTGTCAGTGGGGGGGGAATAGTGCCCCATCGTTGGTGTCAGTGGGGGGAATAGTGCCCACCATTGGTGTCAGTGGGGGGAGGAATAGTGCCCCATCATTGGTGTCAGTGGGGGAGGAATAGTGCCCCATCATTGATGTCAGTGTGGGGGAGGGGGGAATAGTGCCCCATCGTTGGGGTCAGGGGGGGAGGATAGTGCCCCATCGTTGGTGGTCAGGGGGGGGGGGAATAGTGCCCCATCGTTGGTGTCAGTGGGGGGAGGAATAGTGCCCCATCGTTGGTGTCAGTGGGGGGAGGAATAGTGCCCCATCGTTGGTGTCAGTGGGGGGAGGAATAGTGCCCCATCGTTGGTGTCAGTGGGGGGAGGAATAGTGCCCCATCGTTGGTGTCAGTGGGGGGAGGAATAGTGCCCCATCGTTGGTGTCAGTGGGGGGAGGAATAGTGCCCCATCGTTGGTGTCAGTGGGGGGAGGAATAGTGCCCCATCGTTGGTGTCAGTGGGGGGAGGAATAGTGCCCCATCGTTGGTGTCAGTGGGGGGAGGAATAGTGCCCCATCGTTGGTGTCAGTGGGGGGAGGAATAGTGCCCCATCGTTGGTGTCAGTGGGGGGAGGAATAGTGCCTCATCGTTGGTGTCAGTGGGGGGAAGAATAGTGCCTCATCGTTGGTGTATGTGTGGGAGAAATTGTGCCCCATTGTTGGTATTAGTGATACAAATGATGGGGCACTATTCCTCCCACTGACACCAATGATACTTACCTTGCTGACCCCTGCTCCAGCCTGGGCTCGCTCTCTCCCTCTCCCATCTACAGCCAGCATACCTGGCTGCAGCAGCAAAATTTGAACTTACCTGTCAGCTGTCTTCCTTCTCTGGCCGCTCTCCTCTTCACTCGCTCCGGCAGCTCCCTCGATCTTCTTTGATATACGCGCGCTGCCGCTCGGCTCCTCCTCTCCCAAGCTCCACCTCCTCGCCGGTGATTGGCCGCCTGTGTGCCTCTCCTGAGCTACAGTTCCGGTGGCCAATCAGCGGCGAGGAGGCGGAGCTGTTGAGTGATCCCGCAGGTGTGGCCAGGTGACAGGGGCAGCATATCATCCCGCCCACAGATCACCTGAGACAGATAGAGGAGCGGTGTCTCGGTTCCTAAGACCATCGGAAATATGTGTTTTCCGATGGTCTTAGGCGACCCCTGTGAAATGGTCGTTCGACCCCCAAAGGGGTCGTGACCAACAGGTTGAGAACCGCTGTATTAGATGATCAGTAAAATGACAATTTTATAGTCTTGCTACTTTCTGCTTCTTGCTCTTTAAATTCCTTACTCTCAAGTAAACAAAAAAAAATCAATATTTTTGAATTTTGCTATTAAACATGTCCAGTAAAAAAATTTAAAAAATCAAATTTCGTCATAAATTTAGAGCAAAATGTATTCTGCTACATGTCTTTGCTCAAAAAAAAAAATCCCAATATGTGCAAATTAATTGGTTTACGTGAAAGTGATAGCGTTTACAAATGGTGGTGTAGATTTTTTAATACTAGTAATGGCGGCAATCAGCGACTTATAGAGGACTGTGGTGGACATTCTGACACTGGGGGGAACTGACGTGGTGTCACTGACATCCCCAGTGACACCAATACAGTGATCAGTGCTAACAAAAAAAAAAAAAAAAAAAAAAAAGCACTGACACTGTACTAATGGCACTGGGAAGAAAAGGGTTAACATGAGGGGCGATCAAAGGATTAACCGTGCAGGGAGTGTTTACTAGGGGGCAGTGTGTTGGTGCTTCACTGTAAGCACACTGCTCTGGAGTCCAGAGTCATCCAGAGCAGTGTGCGAGAGCTGACAGGGAGGAGAACTGTTAGTAAACAAAACAGTCCTCCTCCCAGTCAGAGATGCTTGGTAATCACCGACCAGGACCTGGTGATTTACAGCCGCGGTTGTGAATGGCGGTGTGGGTAGGGCGTGCGAGTAGTTCACACGCACCCCCTGCCCGGAAATGCAAAATCACGTATGTATTCATATGATTTTGTGCACTCCTGCCACCCTGTAGCAGTATATCTGCTATAGGGTGGTTGGGAAGCAGTTAAAAAACATACCCTCACCTGTCCCTTGATCCTGTGATGTCCTCCCTGAAGCCCATTTCACCCGGCTGTCCGGTGTTTCTGGCATCTTTAGTGTGGGCACCCAGTTGTGACAGCTTGCGGCTTCACAGCCAGGTGCGCACTGCGCATGTGCGAGTAGCGCTGCGCATTCTGAATGGTCCCATATTCTTCTGGGACCTGTCACGTGTCCCAGAAGACTATGGGGGAAAAGGGGGGGAAAGGACAACTTCCGTTTCTGATCGCCTAGGTGACTGCAGAGGAAGTGAGAGCGGTTACCTGTCAATTTCGGGTACCCACTCCCTCACCCACTCCCCAAATGTGCCAATCCTTAATGGGGAGCGGGGGACAAGTCTTTAAAGCGGAACATCCCCTTTCCTGTGGAGCTCTGCTTTAAGATGGATGTCCCACCCAAATTATATTTATTCAAAACAGTTCAAATCTCTCTATCCAGATCATTCTTTTAGAAGCTTTAACAAATCTTCAACAAATTCCTGCGACAAACAAATCACCCTAAGATAAAATGTGCAACTGGGAAAAGTATGGAGGAAGTGTGCTCCCCGATTTTTCCCTACCATAATGTTAAATATAAAGAAAGGGTCACAATCAAATTTGTAATATCCCCTGATATCCCAAAGTCCACTTATGGTAAGTCAAGTTTAATGTGACTGAACTGAAACAAGGCCACAAACTAGTGGCTGCAACACTAGCCTGCTGGTATGGATCCTAGAGCAGGGCTTGAAAATGCCGCTCGCCCACTCGCCAAATGTGAGGGAAAATCCTTGTGTGGCAAGCACAGATGGAGCGGCTCTATATGCGCTCCATGCCTCATTGTGAAGCCGAGTTCCGGTTTCCGACTTCTTCGGCACCGTCATTACACTGGCAGCGCCACCGAGGGGACAGGTGCAGGAGAGGTCCGCTCTCCTCTGCTGAGAGGAGACACCCGCTCTCCACCGCCGCAGTGGACTCGAGGAGAGGTCCGCGCTCCCCCCGCCTTGGGGGACACGAGGAGAGGCCCGCTCTCCACCATCTTGGGGTACATGAGGCCCGCTCTCCAACGCCTTGGGGGACACAAGGCCCCCTCTACACCGCTTGGGGGACACGAGGCCCGCTCTACACCGTCTTGGGGGACACAAGGCCCACTCTACACCGTCTTGGGGGACACGAGGCCCACTCTACACCGTCTTGGGGGACACGAGGCCCACTCTACACCGTCTTGGGGGACACGAGGCCCACTCTACATCGCCTTGGGGGACACGAGGAGAGGCCCGCTCTACACCACCTTGGGGGACACGAGGAGAGGCCTGCTCTACACTGCCTTCGGAGACACGAGGAGAGGCCTGCTCTACACCGCCTTCGGGGACACAAGGAGAGGCCTGCTCTACACCGCCTTAGGGGAAACGAGGAGAGGCCCGCTCTACACTGGCGTAGGGGACACGTGAAGGAGAGATCCGCCAACGGTGCACATCACTAAACCCGCCAGCTTAAGATAAATGACATTAACTAAAAATTTACATCTTTTAAAAGGGACTTTAGGTACTAAAGTCTCTTTTTAAAGATGCAGGAGATAAACAAAAAAAAATACAAAATGTTTACTACAGGTCTAAAGCTGTAAAACTTGATATTTTGATTGCACCCTATTGCTATTAAGCGATTGCTGTTATGTTTAAATTGGCATAATAAAGCTATGTTATAATTGCAGTTTTTTTATATTTTGGACTTTTTATTCTAAAGAAAAATGTAATTTCATAAACTTTAAGGGGGCATGGTTGGGGGCAGGGCTGGGGGGCGGGGGTTGGGGAAGGGCCAGGGGTGGGGTTGGAGGCAGACCTGGGCAAGGTTGGGTGGGGCAACTGGTGGAGTGTAAGGTTTGTGCCTGGCTAGTAGGTCTAGACTTGAAATTTTAAGCCCTGTCCTAGAGGAATTATGATCTACTACATTTGGTCCCCTAACCCCCCTTTTGGTAAATTGCACAAAAAGACCACTAATCCCATTTCCCTAGTATGGGATGTTTCTCGTTCTTCAACACATAATGACTCCGCTTTTACAAAACTCTATTCTTTCAAGCACAGTAATGTAAGCCAGTCACTGCCCTTGTTCTCAACCCCAAGCCCCAGAACACACAATTTGTTTGTTGGGTAGGTACTTCTATGGATCACAGAAGTGTAGTGAATGCTGGGGGGGTGGCAGAGCAGACAGCGGTGACCGCTGTCTGCTTAGAACAGCAGGCTCAACTGACCGATCAGTGGTGTCTGATCGCTCAATTCTCACCCTTAGAACCAGCAAATGCAGCATCGAGTTGATACTGCATCCACCTAGGTAAGTATGATTATCCCCAAAAATCCATACTTCTCTTTTAAGAGTGACACTATAAGATCCATATTACTGAACATCCCTACTGCATACAATTCACATAATGCAGTATTATTACCATACTAAACTCTTCAAAACTCACACTGCTTTCCACACTTTCAGGCATAATTCCCTTTGCAAAAAAATTATAGTCCAAATTCTTTTTTATAGCAGAAAGTCAAATTATTCTGAAACATCTGAAATCTCTAATAGTCCCCTCACTAGCTGAATAGGTTGAGGACCTTAATGACATAATGAGAATGGAACAACTAGTGGTCCAAGATAATGACAGGACCAGGGCTCACCAAGCTACTTTGGTCTTAAATATTATTTAAAAGAATTCTTCCAAATTCCAAGCCTACTTTTCCAACTAATCACTTAACATATAGCCGACATCGGGGTGCTCCCAAAACACCCCTCTAACCTCCTACTCTTGCTCATTCTTTTTCCTCTTCCCTGTCTTCCTTCATTTTTTTCTTTATCTTCTTGCACGCATATATGTATGTATGTAGTTTCAGGTTGCAATAGATCAAGTACAACTGAACATAGTACATAAAAAGAATTCCTATTTCTGGATTAAAGCTTGACAGCCTCATTAATATAAAAACACTAAATTTGTCATTTAGATGAGATGTTCAACAGAGGAAGCTTTGTGACAAAGTCTGCACAAAGAAGATTTTGTAACATTGCTTCCTCCATTTCAAAATTAGAACCATGCCACAGATTCTTATACAATCTTGTCTTTGGCAGCCTAGGTGGTAAATCTGAGTGGAAATACAGTATAAAAAAAAAACAAAACTCACCCGTTGCGAGATATATAGGATGCTGTTGAGAGGGGCTCCAAGTCTGCATTGCAGTGCGATCGATCTCTTTTAGCTTCATTCTGTATTGAAGAAAAGAAAAAACACAGGATAAAGAAAATGTTAACTGTCTTGGAAAATTTTTAAAAAATATATATATATTATATACATACAAACACTTTTGGTATATTGTAGAATTATTGTTTTGCATTTAGTCTTAACGGACAACCATATTTTCTGTTTAATCCTTTCAATGCAGTATGAGAGAAAAGAATAATCAAACGAATCACTTTGGGCAACTCAGTAAAGGCACGACACCAGTGTAAAGAAATACACTGCATATACCAGCTCTTCTCAACCAGGGTGCCCAGACACCCTGGGGAGCCTTGAGGTTTCTTTAGGGGTGCCTTGGCAAAAAGTCTACAAATTGCCCAAAACTTGTATACAAGCCAGCAGGTGGAACAAGTCTGCCTTTTAGTTACACACAGCCACAGATTTTCATTGTGCACCATTACGACCTTCTAGTCCTGACAACTAATGACATCATCAGCTGATAAGGAGGATGTCAGCTGTCTGCACAGCATCCTAGTTTGACCCTCCCCTGCCCATCTCCATCAGTGCTGGGGTCACATTAGCTCAGTGATGGAGAAAACACTGAGGGAGAAGAGAAACACTGGAATACTAGTCAGTACCAGTGTGCTTTGGAAGAATTCACCTCTAATGTTGGGTGTCCTACGTTTGGATGTTGCTGCGTTACAGATATAAAATTAGAATAGTTATCCACATTTTAGAATGGGGTGGCTCAAGACCTTCCATAATTGTAAAGGGTGCCTTGGGACTGTCCGTAATTTTAAAGGGTGCCTTAAATGGAAAAAGGTTGAGAAACACTGGCAGTACGTTAAAGGATAGGGTGCACTTATGGAGTACAAAGCTTCACATGTACCCCTTCCACAAATCACTGGTTAAAATTGTCAGACCTAATATCTTGCAGTTCTGCAATACTGCACATGCTCTGCTTTCCAGACCGAGAATTGAATGGACTGCATGGATTCACATCTCCCAGAAGGACTATAACAAGATGTGTAAAACAGGGATAGGTAAATAAGATGTGTAGAAGTGCCCACAGAAACTAGATGCTGGTCTCCTGATTCAGAGACAATCTAACATTTATATGGCATAGCTTTTCAAAGAGAACAGAAGTTGGACAGTCGCTTTCCATTCTGATAAGCGGTGGCAGTGGGGTCTGCTGGATGTCTCCACTACAGCCAAGGAGACCATTCCATTTTAGGGTTCATGTGGCCTGCACAGATGTCTGGGATGGTCAGATGATATATGCACAACCAACCATCCTCTGCTATGCAAGGCCAGCTTAAACATAAAGGGTCTTTTACAATTAAAGTAGAACTTTTTTTTGCCACGTGTGACCCATTGGGGAAATTTTCCTTCACTTCTTGTCCCATAACCAAAACAGGAAGTAAAAAAATCACAGGGATTTCTTGGGGACCCCCAGGTCACCAGAACTAGTGTCTCCATTGGAAGATTTCCCCTCTATTACTTTTCTGGGGATTTGTGGTTTCTTTTACTTTCAGTTTCAATGATAATGGGAAACAGGACGAATGGAGAGGGTGAATCTCCCTAACGGCGACAGACAGCAATAAAAACTGACAGGTGTTCTAATTCTTCTGCACTCTATCCAAAACTAAAAGAGAAAATGTTTTACCTTTAGTTATACTTTACGTCTGGCTAATCTGACAGTTCAAAGTACAAATAAGTTCCTTACACCACCTGCTGTACCTTGATTGGTGCAGGTCTAATAGTACTGCATGATCAATAATCTTTATACTGCCTGGTGCCCTATGTAACCACATCTGCTCAGGTGGACAGGAATTGGGGTATAGCAAAACACAAAACAGGAGGCAGACAATACATAAATCGTGCTCAATCAATGTGAGCTGCTTGAGTTTGCAATAGTACATTAAGCTAGTCATATTCTAAGAAACATAAAAAAAAAAATACAGATTATTTTTCTTTAGAGACATTTCTACAATGCTGGCATCCTGAGACAAGACACAAAAAGAGGCTACCGAGACCTATAGTGGAAAATGTGCGGTGTCAGCCTGGGTTCACACTGATGCGGTGCAGCATTTGCAGCACTTTCTGCATGAATTCCGCACCGCATCACAATTGCACCCTGTTCATGCAAACCGCTGTGGGTGTGTATGTTAAGTTAACAACACCTCAAAATCTGTCCGCAAATCGCTGTGCGATGTGCAGAATCGGTGTGAATACCCATGCGGTCTGATTCTAGTGTGATCCAAAAAAAGGGTCCTGTACCTTTTTGGTGCGGATGCTGTGCGATTTGAGCCATACAAAATGTATGGCTCAAATTGCACTGCACAGAAATTCGCATTTGATTTGCACAGGAATGCAGTGCGGTTCCTGTGTGAATCAGAAGAGGTATGCCGCGCCGCACAATTGTAAACCCAGACTCATTGTACAAGTGGAATCTAACTCTCCAGCAGCCATGACTAATGTGTGAGCAAAGGCCCAGGTCTCACAGAGGCAGAGTCCAACTATGAACAACATGTACTGCTCAGAAGACTTTCAATTACAGGTAGAATTCAGTTAATCGCTGTTATTTCCTCTTATAGTAATTGTTTATTGGACAGGTGTACGGTTACTTTCCATTTACTTTTATTGTATTTTCAGCTAAAATAGTATTAGGTGGGAAAATTCTATCCTCTAATCAGTAACCTCAGCTAGCTAGTTCCAGGGGACTAACCCTAAATTCGAACTGATGCGACTTGTCAAGCAATTTGACCATTCAAATTGCATAACAAGTCACATCCAATGATCAGCAATGGAACTGTAGCAATCAATTTCAAGTGAAGTCGCACAATTTCTAAGCCGCATTCAGTGTGTACCAGGGTAATGTTCATTCTAATTGACAATCTGAACAATCTGTGTTGGTGTGCTGTATTGTCAAAAATAGTGCAAGTGCATCTTAGCAGGTGTGTTGAGGTGTTCAAAAATGCATGGACTGTCTTAACGCGCCTCAGTGCACAAGAATGCTTGCATTAACGCGTTAACTCATGCGCAAGGGTGGACAGGGTCCTAACTATTAAGAGCAATGCAAATATATAGGACATTTATATATGTAAGGAATGATTTTATTTTGCCATATTTTTGGATCAAGGCATGTGTCTGTTTTCTCTTATTTCCTTTAGCCCTGTTTGCACTGATTCGACTTGTCATGCAATTTGGCCATTAAAGTGGCATCCAATGATCGGCAATGGAACCATTCTAATTGATGCGACTCCCGATTTGAAAAGTAGTTCCTGCACTACTTTTGCCAATTTCAGGTGTGAGCACTACTTTTGCCAATTTCAGGTGTGACTTGCATAGACATCTGTGCATGAAGTCGCACCTAAAGTTGACATGCAAATATGAAATCTTACAATTTCTAACTTGCATTCAGTGTGAACCAGGGCTTATTTGCCTCCATAAACATATACTATAACTATTTTAACTACCGCAGTATTATTCAAGATGGCTTTATAATTACATCTGTTTGACATCTTTGCGAATTTTATGAGCTGCAACAAACCGTGCAAGTGAACAAGAAAACTACTGATTGGCCAGCTTATGTATGGAACAAGACAACTCAGCTAGGTGGAAGTTTAAATTTGTAGGCTAATATGTAGAAGCTGTCATTTTAACAGCTGAGATAAGATGTATGCCTATGTATGAATGATTCTATTGAATTTCTACAATCACTTTATTTTCTGCAAGAGAAACTTTGATCAAATCTATCAGGCAAAAAATTTAGATCCTACAATTTATATTTTATTACCATTTAACCAGTTTTTTAATCACCATTTTTCACATTTTCCACTGCTATAGACATTCTAGGCATGGTATTTATGGTACACAGGGAACTTCTGGATATTCATAAAACATATGCTGGTCTTGCATAAATGGACTTTTACCAACAATCAACCAAAATAACACAGGAGGATGTCAGCTCATCCTGAAAACCATGCACTCGATCTTTAAAGGAGACATACAGCCAAAGCTCTTTTGGCTGTACTTCTGTGGACCACAGGAGTGCAGTTCGTTTTTCACTCCTGCGACTTGTTTACAGTCGACAGCGGGCTGACGTCACTCAGTAGCTTAAAAAAAGTTAGTGTGCATAGATTCTAAATAAGTTTCTCAAAGCTTGCCAAAAGCTTTAGGCTCCATGCACACTAACATTATTTTAAGCTCCTAGAAGCTGTTAGAAGCATTTGTTCTGCTCCTAGAAGTTAGATAAATCCTATGTGTCCATGCACACTACTTTAGGCTATTATCATTTTTGAGGGTCGGTGTCTAGGAGCAGAAAAAAATATTTTTGTAGAGTTTTTTTGGAGCGTTTTTCCAGCAGAAAAATAAAGCTAAAACACTCCTAAAACACTGCTAAATGCTACTAAAACTTTACTAACAGCTTTTTTCTAGCTTTTGTTTTTTCTTCTACATGTACTATAAAAACACTAATAAAACTCTAATGCTCCTAAACACTACTAAAAATTATATTACCAGATTTTTTTATCCAGTGTTTTTTTGAGCTAAAAAAAAAACACTAGTATGCATGGAGCCTTACAAAGGCTTTGAAAAGCATACTGGTCACCCTGGTCTTGTACAAGCTGGAGCGAATAGGAGGGATAATACAGAGACAAGCTCTGCAGCAGAGCCTGACTGGCTCCTGTCCTACCCTCTAAGGCTAGGTTCACATCTGTGCGGGTGGTGCCGCTGCGGATCTGTGCAGGCGCACCACCCGCACAAAGGACTGCGGACCCGCGGGGGGGGTGCCATTAATTCAAATGGCACGCCACTCGCACTGGAAAACGCAACTGTACTGGGAGCTGAGGTTCCCATGCGGGCTGTGTTTTCGGAAGAAGTGCAGGGACTTCTTCCCTGCGTGTCACGGGACATGGTAGTCCATTCAAATGAATGGGCTCTCATGTCCACGCAAAACGCGGTCCACATGGCCACATATATGTGAACCGGGGGTAACTGTCTGTTAGAGGTATTGCTGTGTTTATA